AGAAAGAAAGAAAGAAAGAAAGAAAGAAAGAAAGAAAGAAAGAAAGAGAAAAGAAGAAAAGCAAAAAAGATTATGGGAAAGGGGAGTGAAGTGACACACAGGGTAGGCTCATGAAGTTAAGAGGAGGCTAAGAGGGGTGAAAGCAATCCTGTATGAAATTGTCAAAGAACAACTCTACATTTTAGAAGATAACACAGCTCAAACTATTACATGACACCCTTTCACATGAGCAAGGTCAGCCAGTTTATGTAAATTGCCTTTTTTATAGAAGTTTGCCACTGTGCATAATTCCACAACTATTTGCATCCCAGATAGAACGTTAAGTTTAATTAATCTCAGCTAATAATTAGGTATTACTGTATCTTCAAATAACATCTTAAGAATTCTTTGAGAATTTCATACATGCGTACCTACGCTCATATTCACACTCCAACACTGAGTAGGTTATTAAAACAGCGTTGTGTGAATGACTTTGGCTTATTTTTTTTTCTATTCCCTCATTTTCTCCATCATTAAGGAAGAAAAGGCTATCAACTTGGCTTATTTTATGCAATTTAGTGGTAGATAAGAAGTTTTCAAATGCCTGAAGTAATCTCCACCCCAAGTCAATTGTGAACTGAAATTCTATGAACCATGGGGTGATTTAATTAGAACCTAAATTCAAAGAGATTTTCTTTTCTCTACTGACTTCTTGCGTGCCCACTGCACATTGCCGGGTGTGGTGCTCTCATGTATACCACTGGAAACCAATTCCTATTAAAAATAGGGTGATGCTGTCAAATAGCAAAATCCGATTTTATGACCCTTTCAAAACTGTCTCATCCACAAATGTTAATGCTTGCACAAAGAGAAAAGGAAGTTAGACTTACATCATGCATTTCTGTTTTCACTTTAAATTCCATTTCTTTCATGTTTGTTACACTTAAAGTCCTTGCCCTAAATTTGAAGCAGATAAAAGTTACAAGTCAGCTCCTGATCACTATATTAACAAAGAATCAAAAGCAGCAGGTTGTTTTATATTAAAAATCAGAAATTGAGTAGTTTGTCTGTAAGATATTGGTATGTTTTGTGAGTATATTCTGTAGTAGAGAAAAACAACAGAGGTATCTAACTAAAAATTAATAAATAGAATTTATCTTATTTAAGTCTCCAGAATCCCACAGTCCAAGCTGTAAGAGTTACACTGATTAATAAAAATTATAAAATGAGAAAGGGACAAAGACTATATGATGTCTGATGAAATCTTATCAGAAAGAAAGGGACTCAGTGGCAAAAAGCCAAGATAATAATCTGTATTTGAGGGTTCTATACAAGGAAAAGCATATTTTATATTTTGTTTTTACTTTTTAAGGTTGTAGGCTCAGATTATTTCGTAGCTAATTCCAAGTCATCCATGAGAATGGAGTATGACAACTAGTATATAAACTCTGAGAACACAGGAAAAGAACTGTTCAAAGTGGCTGAATGACTTAATGATTTTCAGTCAAAGGACAAAGCAATAAGGCATGTCTCAGCAAATGACATGCTTCTAAAATGGAAAGATGGTAACATAATGCCCCAAATTATGATTACTGATGCCAGCTTACATCCTATTGAATACTGTACCCTTTAACTTGTTTTTAAATGCCATAGTAAAGTCTGTGACCATGAGATTTATTTATTTTAATAGATGTTATGAAATTTGTTACAGCCTTAATTTTAAATGGTCCTCAGATGCCCACATGTTGAAGACTTGGTTGCCAGCTTATACTACGAATGTAAGGCAGAAGAACCTTTAAGAGTTGAGGAATAATAAAACAGAATTAGGTCACTGCAAGTGTCCTTGAATGTGATGTTGGCATCATGACCCCCTTCTCTCTTTGTTTTCCAGGCACATAGAATCAAGCATATTTATTCCACTCTGCACTTCCATCGTGGATGCACTGAACCACTATGGGCCCAAAGCAAACTCAAAAATCATAGGTAAAACAAAACTGTCCCTATAAGTTGGTTTATCTCAGTGATTTGTAATGATATTGATGGTTCTCTTTATTATGACCCATATTAGTCTATATCATATATACTCAAATTTTTTTCCTGCTTCTCCACTAGACACAAATAAGATATGAAATTATAGAGCAAAACATATTGTACAAAAATAAAAGAAACTCTAACACCATGTCTTTTGCTCTAGAGTAAAAACAGAGTATTTTAATAAAGCCTTACCTTGGGAAGCGTCCTAACACGATAGCTATGGTGCAGACAACACCAAACAACAGTCCCACATTGGCAGCAAAGCATATTGTAAAAATGTAAGTGCTGATCCATATGCCCTAAAGAAACACGGAAAAAAGAAGACATGGCTACTTCTTTCTCATTTCTCATTTCAACTGCAAATCCACTATACTGTATTCAACACTGCGTGAACAAATCTCTAAAAAATTTACTTGCTTGTTATTCTCTTCCCCCTTTCCTTTCTTCCCCCTCCCAGCCTCCCTCCCAGCTCATCTCTGTCTCCTTCCCTTCTTCTCCCTCCCTCTCTCTATCTCTCTGCCTATCTCTCTGTCTCTGTCTGTCTGCCTCTCTCTCTCTGTAGTGTGTGTGTGTGTGTGTGATGGAGGGGCACAAAGGTGAGCAGGCCATGACGTGAGTGGAGTAAGGAAGACCAGATGAAAGCTTATTAGAGTAGGATCTCTTCTTTCTGCATGTGGGTTTCAGGGATCAAACTCAAGTCATCAGGTTTGGCAGCAAGTGCCTTTACCCACTAGGCATCTCACTAGCCCAAGAGTATATTGTTTAGTGTGCACAGAAACTCAGAAATACAAGAACATACAGAACATGGCTCCATCAATTCTTAGCAGTAGAAATGGAAAGGTTCATTTTGTTTGTTACTATAAAATATTCTCAAAGCTTAGTGTTAAATTAACTCAATAAAACAACATTGATCATAATTTTATACAACTGAAAGATCATTATTTATAAAGGACCACTTCCTATAAAAGCTAAAATATCAGGGATGACTTAGTTCTTAGAAGGATTTTAAAGGTTTTTAAAAAGAAAAAAAAAAAAGCTCTTTTAATTAGAATTTTAAGTTTATTGTAAATTCACCTACCCCTTGAAATTATAATCTCAACAAGATTTCATAATATAAAGCTGGTATTTCTAAGCTTGCTGATGAAAATAGCTTCAGAAGCAAAAATAATTTATGCACTCTAGAAAGGTTGTACTTCTAAACACAAAATCCTATATTTATAAAATACTAGACTAAGAATTATTTACAAATTATTTTCCCAAATAATCTACTCTATGTTTCTATGTGTGCAATTCTAACTTGTTTTCTTTCTGTTGCAGTATTTTAAAATACCTCAAAAAATAATTTCATGTTATCTACAAGTGAGATTAAAGGCCCGTTTGTAGCCTAAAAATAGCATAAAATCTTGGTGACGGCTGTATCACATGCCTTCCTCCTAAAGCTGAGGGATGATCTCAGAAGGAGTGGAAAGATTGTAAGAGCAGAGGCAGTGGACGGCCACGACAAAATTGTTTCAGACGCAGAACAAAGCAACTGCACTTACAGACTCACCCCACTTGTAACAGTATGCACAAGACGCGAGGAGGTTTAAACCAGACAAACAACCACACAAAGAAGGGAGAGATAAACACAAAATCCCACCCCTAACTGAGCAGTCTCTGGCAATTCACAGCTCCTAGGAGAGGGAGAATTAGTTTTCTTTATGGGCGTGACCACGATAGCTTAAGTACACTCCAGGGGAAAGCCTGACTTTTAGAGCATTTAGGCAACACAAATTGAACTACATAAGGAAAGAGAGAGAGAGAGAGAGAGAGAGAGAGAGAGAGAGAGAGAGAAACAAAGAAAGAAGTTGGCAAGTAGTGGATGGAGATAGATTCAGGAGGAGCTGGAGGTGGCATCTTCCCACTCCCGCTCAAATTCATGACCTCTTCTTCTTTAATTATTATTGTTTTATATGCACACATAACTAGAACCTCCAGTCCATTTAGTGTTGCTCATATGTGTTTAAGGCTGGTGGCTGAGGTTTGGATAACCCAACAAGCTGGTCAGCGCTGGAGACTGGTTCTCCCTCTCTTGGCAGCCATTCATTGTCTGTAGGTCTTCATCTAGGTGTATGACCCTGGGAGAATCCCCTATGTTGGTGTTGACAGGTGCAAGCCTTGTTTAGACAACTGTATTTTTGAGATTTCATAGGTGAAACTTTCTATCATATGAAGAGAACGCTTGCTACCAGCATTCATTCTGATCCTCTGGCTCTTACAATATTTCATTCCTCTCTTCTGTACTTCTCCCTAAGCCTGAGGTATATAAGCTGCCTTACAGACACACTAACTGGTGATAGCACCCCACAGTCGTTCTTTTCCATATTTTGACTGGTTGTGGGTTTCTTTCTGTAAGCATCATTGCCTGCTAACAGAAAGAGGTTTGTTTTTGTTTTTTCTTGTTTTTTGCTTTTTGTTTGTTTGGGTTCCTTGTTTTGTTTTGTTTTTACTTTTTGAGACAGGGTTTCTCTGTGTAGCCTTGGCTGTCCTGAACTCACTTTGTAGACCAGGCTGGCCTCAAACTCACAGAGATCCACCTGCATCTGCCTCCCTGAGTGCTGGGATTACAGGTGTGCGTTACCTCACCTAGCTCAGAAAGAGGTTTTTTGATGAAGGGTGAGAGTTTTGCTTGTCTGTGGCCATAAAACGAGGATTTAGGGTACTATCGAAGATTTTGTTCATTTAGGAAAATGGCAGATATGGGTGCTATGGGCTCGCTAAGCACAGGTAGTTGGTTCATTTACAGTACAGGCATGAATGCCCTCTTGTTGAGTGGGCCTTAAGCTCAGCTAGATGGCTGTTGATTACCTCCAAGGTATTAACGCCATCACTGTGCCTTTAAGGACATCTTGTCATGTTGGTCATTATTGCCTGTCATTGGTTCTACAGCTGGATGAGTGTTGGTTGCTTTTCTCCCTGGCAAACTGCATAGTACTTTTGGATACTTTGAGAGTCCTCAGGGAGAAGGCTGCCAGTTCACGTCCACCTCAGTTCCTCCAAGACCTATATCTGCAGGGTGTGGAATATTTAGCAATAGAGCCTGACTTGCAAGCTCTGGGAGGCAACCAACCACCATGACAGTAGGCCATATCATTCTGGGAGTCTCTTGGACTCCCTGACCAAGTCAAAGGGAGGTTTCCCACGCCTGGCACTGGGTTTTTGATTGATAACTCATGGCTCTTGAGGGAAGCATTATCCAACATCCTCGGTGTTAATTTACTATTCCTTCCTCTCCATCTACCTGCCTTTACCTTCTGAGCTCACGTATCATTCTAAAATCCCTCCCTCCTTCTTCTCTGCATTGTCCTTCCTCCTCTCCTCCCAATTAGCTCCCCACTGGTTTTTCTCATTTCCTTCTCTACGGCACCTGCGCCCTACTATTTCCTGTGTAGAACACCTGAGCACGCTCCTGTTTTGCTTTCTGTTCTATGGTTACTCCAGGTTATATAGTTATAGCTAAAATAAAAAGAGCTCTGTGCCCATAGCACCGTCTTCTATAAGCCAGGATCTATAAGTGATTAATAATTTCCCATGTTTGCTTTAAAGCTAAAATTATTAAATGTGAAGCAATAATAAATTAGTAAGCAATTCCATTAATTAGAATAAGTCCCAACAGCATTCTGCAACAATTTCTGCCACAAAGGCCCAAATATCTTTACATATCACAGATATCAGGAGTTGGTAAACTCTTATCCCTCACACAGTCTGAACTATGGGCTGCACTTCTTTACTTTCTATCTCCTGCTGCTACCACAATCCCACTGTTGTCCTAAGGGAATCACTGAGAGACCTAGCCAATGAAAGGAAGAGAAAGAGAAACCTGAAATAAAGTCATAGAGTAGATTTGGACATACAATGAATGTGTTAAAGAAAAAAAAAAAACTAACAATACATATGAAAATCCCAGGACACAGATTTCTTCTAAAAAAGAAAAAAAAAATAGATGAGAAAAAGCAATCTGGAAAAACTAAAGAAAGTAATTGTAAATAAAAATAGCATTTACATAAAAACAGTATTTAAAATTGTAAGGAAGGATAAACACAACTAGACATACAAAATAGGGCATACAGAGGCCAGGCTACAGACACAGCACAGAGGAAAAGTAGAAATAATACTGATAAGTATATGGTTCATTAAGAAGAGAGTAGAACATAAATTTGCAGAACAATATTCAAATACATGTTACAAGAAACATTTTGTAGCCAAGAAGTCTAAACTTGAGTTCATCCATGATGCTCATGGAAATCTTATATTGTACCTTAAGCCACAGAAAGCTACTGAACTGTGTGGGCAGGAAAAATCAAGATCATGGAGTATTAATTTAGAGAAGCAAATTCAAATAAAATATAAGAGTTACATTGACTATGACTTTTCTATTTAATCTATCAATCTATCAAAAATACAGCCAGCTCTGAAAGACCTCAGGGGAAAGCATTTTAGACAGCCTAAAAATGTCCTTACAGTATATAAAATGATCACTCTTTTCAAAATGAAATAGTTCAGGGAATATAAACTGCATGAGAATTCTTAGAAAACTACTTGATGATTACACAAAATAGAAGTGAGTGACTCATGCAAAAGAACTCACATCTTTTAAAAAAGACCCATGGTGAACAATGAAGTTGTGTTTCTGCACCTTCTCCTTGCAGAAAATGTTGTCAAGAGGGTCTCTGCACCCCTCATGCCCTCAGCCTTGTGCTGTGGGAAGGGTCACGGAAACGACATAATGAAAGTAAGCACCAGTAGACGCCCAAAAGATTCCTTTTACAAAGGCTCAAAAGAGGACACAAGGTCATGACATTTTAATGATGGGCACAGTCTGGAGTGAACAGAGGCCACTCATGAAATTCTTCACTCACTGTGGAGAGAGGGGTGATTTGGGAATGCTTTTACACAGACCAGTTTCGCTAGAAGCTAAGTGCACTAAATAGTTCTGTTGGCCAAAACATGCTTTTTTATTGTTTAGTGTTATCTAATCTGTTCTGTTCCCAGAGATATCTTATGAATGTAATCCTCCCCATGGTTTAATCCATTTAAAAAACAAGTTCTGAGACTTTGGGGCATTAATGTGAACACCATTGAGAGAGCTACTGTGTAGCTCTGCTGCATACATTTGATGCTGGGCTTTCATGCACATAAGTCATCATATTTCTTTTTTAATAATTTATTTAAGTTTATTCTCTGTGCATTGGTATGAAAAGGTCAGAATCCATGGAACTGGAGTTATAGACAGTTATGAGCTGTCATGTGGGTGCTGGGAATTGAACAATGGTCCGTTTGGAAGAACAGCTAGTGCTCTTAACCACTGAGCCATCTCTCCAGCCCCAAGTCATCATACTTATTGGTGTGTATTTCTTCAGTGAGTTCTGCCTTCAAAACCAATCCAAAATTTAAATTGGATATCTTCAACCTGCTCAAACTGAAAATTATCCAACCACATATTCATCAAAATAAGACAAACTTCTGTGTTCATGCCGTCATTCAAATTGTGAAACTATAACTGGGTCTACACGAGTCTCAAACGGTTAAGCGCATTTCCTGCCAAAGAAAGTATTAGAGTATATTTGGTATCATGTGCTTAAGCCAAAGAAGAAAATATCTGGTCAAACTGCTACTTACCCAATCGATTTTATCCACATTCCAGTATTTTTTTAAATCCCGGAACTGTATTAACATTCCCTTCAGTCCCACAACAATAATGCTAGCAAGAACGCACTGCAAAGGGAAAATAAGTTGGGGAAGAAGCAAGACAAACATTTTAATGTGAATTTAAAAGCACCAAAGTATTGTTGGTTGTTTTTAAAGTAAATTGTAGGAAAAAAAAGCTGTCATGAATTAGATTAAAGTAATATTTGTTTAAAATTAACTTATGTGTGCTTTAGGGAGACAACATCAATTTTAGGAAATCCTAGGACAAAACTGATGAAAGGTCTAAAGAGCAGAAAAGAGAAAGAGAGTGAATTAAGGGAATGAGCATCTCAAGACTGAATGTTCTTTTTACTAGATTTGGTAGGTGTTTGTTTCAGAAATTATACATTCATCTTCTATATTTCTTTACAGGTGTTCTAATGTTAGTCACCTTGATTCATAGCTATTTACATCCTTGAGAAATGAAACTGAGTATTAGAAGGTCATCTTATGAAAATGATGACTCTCCCTTGGAAAGTTAAGTGTTAGAACACCAGAGGCTAAGACCAGGATGGCAGCTGGGGTCACATGGGAGCCCCAGTTCACGAAGGGTTGGCGGAAGCACCAGCTCTCATTCAGAGTCCCACCATATAGAAGACGTGTCTACGCTGTGCAGGTGGATCCTGCGTCCACTCTCTTTCTCTGCCCCACCCTTCCTGCACAATTCTTTGAATGCCTCCTTTTCTCATCAAACCAAGGAATTCATTCATGTTCAGTTGATACTTTACCTTGGAGCTACACCCCTAGTAACCAAAGTCTACTTTTCAGGAGAGTGTCTCCAGTTGCCCCTGACGGGCCAGAGGACAGTCACCATTTCCTTCCCTTTTTCCCTCATCAGATGTGGTATTTTTTTTCCCATCCTTACTTATACCCAATCTTCACTTACAAAACATGGTTTAAAGATTTAAGATTATTGAACTTATTCTCCCAAGGAATCTTACGCACAATAATTCTAATTAAACGTCAAGAAGTATATCATAAAAAGCACTACTCTACCATGGGCAGCCAGTACAGCAAAGGTCCTATCGCGTAGATGACCATAAGGACGAAAATGCAAGATATTAGACAAGCCACCTGTAAAACACAAGACAGACAGAACTCTATTGTTATTTCAAAGCCATGGGAGAGGGGGCAAGAACAAATGGGTGCATCATTGTTAAATTGCAGGGATTGTCCTTATCTGTGTTTTGCAGTGAAAAGACATCAAATTTAACAATTGACAAACTGGTACAACCATAGAAGTCAGCGATGAGACAATTTTACACACACACACACACACACACACACACACACACACACACACACACGACACCATGACACCATTCATTTACAAAACACATTGCAGTGGCTGGTTGAGAGTGAGAGTGGCCAGGGTCACTCTCCTATAGTGGAGAGTCCTGTAGCCTGACTCCACCTGTTCCTCCTAGAGGACCATTTGGAAAACAACTGAGAAATTTGCAGGCTGGGATTTTTCTCTGCAGATGCCGCATTTGCACCAATGTGCTCTTGCTCTCTATCTCTCCCTCCCTCCTCCCCACCCAAGTTCATCACAAGGAACTCTGGAGAGCAAGTCCTCAGATGAGGTTGCGGGAGCAGCCTCTCTGCCAGCAACAGACTTAATTTTTTAATCTGGGGAAGTCTTTGGTATCATGTTCTATCCCACAGAGCCTGCTGACAAAGGTCAATACAAAACCCCTGACTCCTACGGCAATGACAGAGAACCTGAATGCCCAGGAGTAGAAGTCCCAGACATCATAAAAACAAGTTAACACCCTAAGAGGCCTTTCACAGGTCCTCAAATATACTTAAAACACCACCATGAAGAAGTGAAGCAGAATCTTGTTGTATTGGGATGGCTTGGATTTAAAAATATGTAAATAATTTTAGAATCTGGCAAGAACTGAAGGTCTCACACATTGCTGATACTTTGAAAACAGCTTGACCATTTCCTATGGAGTTATGCACAAACTTACTGTAGACCCAGAAAGAATGGAGAGATTGTGGAACATCCTCCAAACAGCAACAGAAAAGCAAACATGTAAGGGATTAAAAACCATTAGTGAGAGGAGAATCTAGACATAAATGATACCGTTTTGTATCGATGACAACTTTTAAAAGAGAAAAATTATAGTATGTCAGGGGATGGAGGTAGGCATTGAAAATTGAATATAATTAGACATGAGGAAATGCTCATTTTGAAAGATAGAAATACTTTATGTATTGATTTTGTGGTTATATAAAATACAATTTTCTTGACACAGTGATCTTTACATCTAAAAAGTGGTGGCATTTACTAGAGCTGATAGACCCATATAAGCCTGACTGTGAAGAAAGAGGCTCAAAATGGGTCTGTAACAACTGCTGGCATCCATGTGAACATACCCAGAGTTGGGCCAGTATGAACCCTTGTCTTGAACTTGCCTTTGAAGAACATACCGGTGGAGGAGGGGCTATAAAACAGGAGCAGAGATGATGACTCAGCTCATCAGACATTCTTATGGATTAGAACAGACCTAGGCTTTAGCTGGTAAGTGGACAGGAAAATACCCCAACTGCTAAGCTTTATTTCCAGTAAAAAGTCAACAACATTCATCCTCTCCCTGGGACTTTCCAAATCCAGTACTTACGATATACCCACAAACAAATTCACTCCTAGGCACTGAAATGAACTCAAGTTAAAGTCAACATTCCTTAGAAAAATCTGACACACAGAAGCAGGATGGAAGAGGGGGAACAGGATAGGAGCCTACTATAGAAGGTCCTCTCAAAGACTCCACCCAGCAGGGAACTGAAGCAGCTGCTGAGACTCACAGCCAAACTTTGGGTAGATCCCAGGCAGTTTTATGGAAGAAGAGGGGTGAGGGGTGAAGAACCCAGAGCAGACAGGAGCCCACAAGGAGGCCATCAAAGCCAAAAAAAAAAAAATCTGTGGCCAAGGGGACCTGCAGAGACTGATGCATGAACCATGCATAGAGAGGACCTAGATGCCCTCTTCAGATGTAGCCCATAGGCAGTTCCTTAGTAAGGGGAGCAAGGGGCTGTCTCTGACATGACCTGCTCTTTGATCACTTCCCCCTGGAGGGGTGACCTTGCCAACCCACAGAGGAAGAGGATCAAGGCAGTCCTTAGGAGACTTGATAGGCTAGGGTCAAATAGTAGGGGAGGAGGACTCCCCCTTTCAGTGGATTAGTTGTAGGGGAGGGAGGTTGGGACTGGGAGGAAACTAGGGAGGGGGGCTATCTCTGGGATACAAAGTGAATAAATTGTAAAATAAAATAAAATAAAAATGTAGAGCGATTGTAGCTCATCCAAGATCATGGAGTGAGAGAATTGAAGTGTCAGAAGGCAACATAAAGCCTGCACTGGATCCAGATCCATACAAGTTGGGGGTTTTGTCTCTTTGTTTTCTGCTGGTTGGTTGGTTGGTTGGTTGGTTGGTTGGTTGGTTGGTTGGTTGG